TTAATTCTTCTTTTCCACAATACTTATATTTTACAGCAAAATGAAGTAATTTTGATACAATATCGCCACATCTTCATAATCAACATCTAGTTTACTCATTTCTTCATATAGACTTTCACTCCCCCTTTTATGCCTCAAATATTGAAACGACCCTATTTTGACGCCAAACACTTGTTTTCGATTGAAAAATGGTGTAAAAAATGATCAAATAGATACATCAAGGGGGTGCCAGAGGTGGGGGTGAGCCTCTTTCTGCTTGGGGTTGAAGAGGGCAGCAGACCCCTTCATTTCAAAGAAAATTTTAGGCTTGTGAGAGGCTACAGATAGCCTCAGTGTAACCTTAAGGTAACGTGTTTCAAACTCTGAAAGCCTTTGGCTTTATCTCAATCCGTTGAGAAGTAACAACACTTTATAATCGGTTTTGTTAAAATTGATGGAAGAATAAATGCAAAATAGTGATTTTGGGCAATTTTGAGATATCCCCTCGTTGCCATGGTAACAGGAAATTTAAGATTAAATATGCCGTTACAAGGCTATGGTCCAGTCAACAATTTTTGATAAGTTTGAACTGTATTGATGCCTTTTTGATAGGTTCATAATCCATAACAACTTTACTCAACAAAAATGTTAACAATGTTATTGCAAAACTCATTAACATGACAAAATAGTGTTTGAAATTACCTCAAAACTGATTTCGCAATTGTAACGTGTTTTGCAATATTCAAATTGGTAAGAGTACTTCGATCAATGCAACAAACACGACATGTTCTAACCTCTGCACAATACTTGCCTACCTATATCTGCCTATAGTTAAAAAGAAAGATAGCTACACTTCGTTAAATGGTTGTGTTTCATATAGACTCCAGTTCTCTTTTTGGTGTTATGACAACAAAAATGAGATTTATATTACTACATTTTTGCAGCTTCACTTTGGCGAAATCGGAAGTGAAAATTATATTTGCATGAGAAACTCCGCCTTATATCTAAAGTATCTCCTCAGTCAAAGTACAAGTACGTATTTGTTAACATAACAATACCAATGCATACTTTATAGCATATTTATGTTGTCAGTCTGATTTACTATATTCATGGTGCCGAAATATCAGTTTATTTAATCTAGATTGTTTCTGCCAGTTAGAACATTCAATCTCGTAAAGCCTTTAAATATATCTGTTCAGTGTGCAACTAGGAGACGCAGATTTATTTGGTAAAAATAGAATAGATGTAAAGGTCAGTCGTGTGTCTAAAGCAATATAAACAATGAAAAAATGTCAATCAAATATTAATCTATGTACAAATTGTCTACAATTAATGGATAGACATAATCCGACAGAAACAAAGTCTTTACCACACACGATTGTGATCCGGAATGGTATTGATGGTGTTATCCCATGTCAGTTATATTATAATCAAAACATATAGATATATATCTACTTTCAATTTGACAATTATAACCCACTTATACTTTTCAGCGTGCCATTCTATTTTTTTAGCTATAATAATATACGAGGGGTGTCCCAGAATTATGTGGACTTTTGCTATAACTTTTTTATTTTTTAAATGCATTTTTAGCAAATTTGTACACAATACTTTTAACATATCCTTAATGAATATGTCCATTATTTTTAAATTTCTAACATTGCTTCTCTATATTTTAAGTCGCTATAGTAACGCAGTATGCGCAGGGCGGGGCAGTCCAATATTTTGTATTAATAAATTGTCTTTACTTTCGTATATCTTGCATATTTATACGTAAAAAATGGCGCGACGTCGTAAGCACATGCAGTGACGTCATATGAACGTTCGTTTGAAATTTTGACGTCATAGCTGTTTCCGTAATTGAAGGGGTCAGTGCAAGATGGTACCTAACGTTATTTAACATTATTTTGAGAAAAAGGTCATTTTATGAAATTTTAGTTTTAATTTAAATATTTTAAAATTAATTCACTTATAAGTAATGTTATGAATAAAAAGAACATTTGAAACCAAAGTTGTATGTTTTACACCATTTTTAACCATTTTATTGAAAGAAAAGTTATTTTTATCAAATGTGCTTATGCAAAAACAGTTCTAAATCCTATGGAGTTAGGACCTTTGCAACTTTTAAAACAATTGCATAAAGTATTTGAGCTTAAAATCTACATATCTTTCAACTTTTCAATCAACTAAAAGGTTATCATGTAACCCCTAATGTATTTGCACATTAATATTAAGCTTAAAAAAAACTTAAGGCGTTTCAAACAATTCTTCAATTGTATAAATTGTATTTGTTACACATCCTTTAGTTGATAAATTGATGAATATTTGATTGATTCACTAATTGATTAATTGACTGGCTACAGGAAACAAAAACAAATGAGTTTTAAACATATATTCCTCATAGAAAGAAACAAAACTTTAACATTCAAGCCAGTTCAAATATAAAAGAACCTATCTTACGAATAAAAGTTTTGTTTTTAATAATTCAGAATATAATTGCATGTATTTCAAAAATATTGTGTGAAGGAACTGTAACAAACGTATTTTCACTAGACGACTACATTTAAATAACCTAAGTTACAAATATTATAAAATACATCAGCTTTAGCTGTATAGTTTACATAATTATCTCAGAATATGGTCTTGAAAAATCAAACAAAAGCTATCAGAACATGCCTTTGTCGCTAAAATGTAAAATTTTTAATATATTTAACATTAACTACCTAAAGCATCCTAAATGCTCAAATTTAAACATTTCCTCTTAAACAATAAATTTATGGTGATATACATGTATAGAAAAACTCTAATCAATATTTTTAAAACTTAAATGCCTTCATGCAAAATTTTAAAAAGGGATGATATGGTATATGTGCAACAAAAGTTCTATCTCCATGAACACAAAATTCACATAATAATATTTGTAATAATTTTCACACAAATGAACATTTCTGCAAATTAATTTGACAAAACATAGAAGAAAACATTGTTTTTGTAAAATCCCATGCACATTTTGACATAAAATCAAAATATAATCACATTTTCATATATTTTTTTCGCCTCAAAACAAGAAAAAATGGATAGATTTAATGTAACAATGGTCTCAACTCCACCTTTGGAGTTAGGACCTTTGTAAAGTTCCTTCAAGAACCATTTTTTACCTTTAAAAAAAGAAATGAGTAACAAAGGGAGGTTATTCTAATTCCAAATAACGTTCTTTAAATCACAAAGGTCCCAACTCAATTTCATCCAAAATTGTAGTTAGGTACCTTGTTGCACTGACCCCTTCAATTGTTTACCAGCGGACAACTGACAACCGTTGATCTTGGATATTTAACAAAAAATGACGTCAACGGATTACGCGGAACATCGGACTATCATCAAGTTTTGTGTTAATCTTGGGAAGACGCCAACACAGACGCAGGAAATGTTGGAGACTACAAAAGTGAGACCTCCTGTTTGTCGATCACTCGTTTTCAAGTGGCATAAGCGTTTTCGAGACGGCCGGGAGGACATTGAAGACGACAAGATTCGTGGGAGAAAGTCAACGTTGACTGCGGCGTCAATTAAGGAATACAAGGGCGTCATAGATCGGAACAGGCGTTACACTGTGCGGGACGTGTGCGACATCACGGGTTTGGGAAGAGGAACGGTCCACCGCATGCTAAATACCCACCTGAACATGAAGAAACTTAGCTCTCGCTGGGTACCTTTCTTTTAAGAAAGTGAACTCAAACTGCTATAGTAAGCAAGGCGCATGATAGGTTATTTCCCTTGTTAACGCACATTGTCTTTGCGTACAAAATAAACTCCACAATAATAATAATAGTAATAAAAAGAATAATAATAATAATAATAATAATAATAATAAAAATTATAATGATAAATAATAATAATAATAATAATACGGCGTCAGTATTATCACCGTCGTCTTTAACACTATTATCGTAACAAAAGTTAATAGTATGCTTTATTATTATTATTCTTTTATAAGGTGTATTGAGTTAGGCGGCGACTATGTTGAGAAAAACTGACATTCGACGCCACGCATTTATTAACTTGAAACTTGAAACTTGAAAACTTGATTTAACGCCTATTTCTACATATAAAATACATATTCAATGGCGTTGTACAGCTATATACCTTATATGTGCTACTCCCAGTGCTACCATACACAATACTCCCAGCAGTGCGACGGTCACAGTGATTGGGTCAATCCCCACCAACATGTAACAATTTACACCCCTGCACCCCTGCACATGATAACACATGGGCTAGACTTTATTATATTATTATACAATGAAAATAATAAAAACACTAGAAATATACAAACATGCACAAAACAATTAGGAACAGACAAAGCATTCAGCGTCATTTAAAAAAGTGCAAAAAAGTCCTTGAAGTAAAATGATTTCAGTTGTCTTTTGAAAATTTCAACAGATTCACATTTTCTCATATTAATAGGTAGTTCATTCCACAATTTTGGTCCTATCGTGCTAAAAGCTCTGTCAGAAAAAGTCCTCTTCTTATTAAAAGGAACAACATAACAACCAACTGAGGATTCAGATGATCTTAACAACTAGCGACGCCACCGGAATGACGTCGTAACGTCGGAATGGACTGCCCCGCACCCGCTACCCCTTGTCTCATTAGCCTGCCCACAGACACTGATCCAGTTGCCGGACAACTTTGAAATTTTTTGTACTAATGAAATAAAGTTGCATTTTGTTCATGTTAATTTTGTTTGTTTTTATTTTCAGTAGTTTTTGAGTTACAGCAAAAGTCCACGTTATTCTGGGACACCCCTCGTATATATATATTACATGGAACTGCTATTCGAAAAACATTATTTTGTGAAATTATAATTATGTGTATGCTCACGGGAACACAAATGCATACTTTCAGAGAGAGTGACTGTTTTATGCTGTATATGAATAACATTCATTTCATTTTAATTTTTTAAGGAACATACACAAATAGTGTAAAACAGATATTTGATATAATATGTTGTGTCCCTTTTTCAGAATATTATAATAATGGGTGTTGATATACAAACTTATCGTGGAAGAATTGGTTGCTTCAGTCGAAACCTTGGTACAGATGTAATAACTGTCCAATATATAGTCGACTTTACCCGAGGACTAAAGACTATAGGGACAGTTGTATTCATAGGTATTTTGTTGCTCTTGGCTGGTATTGAGCAAAATCCGGGGCCGATTTCAGGTAAATATAGCCGACATAATAAAGCATTTCCAATCATGCTATGACTCATAGCAGGTCTGCGCAGGTTCTTATGTATTCTTATAATAATATTTAATTTATCTATGAAAAATGTAATTTTTAATGTTGTCTAAATATTGTCCGGAAGTAATACAAAATAACTCATTATTAAGCATGCACTGATTAAAGTACGGACATAAGATGGGCACATTTTAATCAAAGAGAAAGAAGAAAATGTTATATAGTTTTTCAACAACAAAAAAATCAGGACAGTAAATCAAAATAAAGATTTTTTTATCAAAATGATATACGAACAAAGATAGCCTAGAGGTGTTTTCTAATGTCAATCATATTAAATATAGATCATTTTTTTAGAGTCAACATCTAAACGGACGCCTGCAAATGCTACAATTCTTAAAGTGTGCGGCTTGCCAACAAGCATTGGGACAGATTCTTTGATAAGTATTTTTGAAAATACAAGGCGACAAGGGGGTGGCAATGTTTTAAGAGTAGATATCGATAAGAATGACTCATCTGCTCTTGTTGAGTTTGAGGAGGCGGAAGGTAAGTTGTAACATTATAGTATCACGTAAATGTGTGGCTGTTAAATACCGATGTCCACTTAATGTATAACATTTTACCCACAAAGAATTCCTTTGACAGAAGCAAACTAGTCAAATTTAAGGACAGATGACTAGAGAAACGATATAAATTTCCAATATGGATACGCTTTATTTATTAACTTCTAGAAATTGTAAGATCTCGAAGGGTTGTTATCAATTTTTGTCAAACAGTCTGTTTTGTTTATTATGATTACATGAAACGATCAATAACGTCATTTATGTCCTTTAAAGATTCATGGACTGAAATAATTATTTTATTGTCAAGATATCCCGCGATTCTGTTTTTACACATTAACTAAGTTATAAATATATTATTATGCATGTGTCAGATAATGAAAATATTTGAAAATGCATAAGATGTTGGTATTTGCTCTTGACGGAATGTAGGGAAATAAAAAATAGGGGTTCAGCTGGTCACGACATATTTTGATTTTATTTCTTTTTTCAGCTTTACAATTAGTGCTGAGGAAAAGACCAATTCAGATAGATGGTAAAGATGTATCTGTTGAAATATATAGTGAGTGGTTATTGTCAAAATATGTCACGTCGCATTTATTTGACAATGAAACACGTTTCTGAAAAGTAACATCTGTACTAAGTTCTTGGCAGCGTTATTTTGCAAGCCAATACCTCTTTGATATTTATAAAGCTCGTGCTTTTGTCCAAAAGCCAACAACATAAAATTTGAAAAACTCCTTTAGATCATCCTTGTCACTTACAACAATTATTTTCGAGATGTATTCCGACAAATATACCCAGAATAAAATAGAAATCGATAGTTTGTGAGGTTCTTAGTCCGTTTTCAGTTGATAGCGTTACAGCACATTTAATTGCTAGGTCATTTTAAACAATAAACAAACGAGTGAGTGAATGATCTGAAATTTGGTACACAAGTTAGTTGAAACATCCTACATCAAATCGTATAAAATATCGAAAATGTATTAAAACCAGATTGAACATTTCAGTTGATGAAGGTTCTATGGATGAAAATAATAGCTCACAAACAGACGGTTCTGATGAAGTCTTCGCAGATAAACCCACCGATCAACAATTAGGTTCCGATTCTGAAGATGGAAATATGTCAGGCGCCGGTATGTGTTTTTAATCATTCATGACTTTTCATTTATACGTTTTGGGCATTTTATTTTCCTATTTCGATAACCTTGCTGAACATTATGCACAAAAACTAGGTACACCTGTTTAAGCAGTATTAACTATTAACTTCCTACATTTATACGTATTATGTCAAATAAAATTGTCACACATTCAAGTATTATATAAAGTATTAAAACGTTATTTTGTTACAGAAACATTCATTTCAGTTTTATGATTTTACCTCCAATTGAGATTTTAGATGGTAAAAATAAACTTTCAAGATCTCATTTTAAATGACGTCTGCCAAGTGTATTTATATATGATTAGAATATTTGTAATCATCTTTCATATATAAAATTGGTCAAAACGTTTGGGAGATCAAATGTTTAAGTTATACATGGACATGAAGACAATTTGTGCCTAATAGCTCGATTACTATAAAAGAATTTATATAATTATCTTAATTCTTCGTATTGGAAGACAGATCTCCGCTGCCTTTCTGCAGAATTGAAAATTCATCTGTATTAATAAAAAAGGGAGTGACAAGTATTACTTGTTCCATGAGGTCCAACTTTCTTTTGAGGAACTGATAAATACGTAATAGGACTCGATAATTTTATTTCATTTCAATATATTATGATCACTTCGTCCATTTTAACAGTTAAAGTTCATCCGCAAGATAAATGACGTGCATCTTCTAAACATTGGAAGATATATCGATACATTTTCATACATTATACATTATCGAATTAAAATACAATAAATTGAACACTGATCCAGTAATTGCATAAATATGCGTGACATGAATGTGTACATCAGCATCATATACTAGAATACAGCCAAGGGTTTGACTATTCAATAGCTTAAGGCAAATGGAATAAAGTAAAGGAAAATAATATTCTGTTTGACTGTTGATTGAATACATCTAAAATGTAGGGAACACTATACACTGGTCTTGTCATGGTCGAATCAGTATGTGGAACTATATTCATAAATTTGTCTCAACCGCGCTAGCTCCTATATATATATTTCAAAACAATTCAACATGAAAATTTGCGCACATAATATTTCTCAGACTTTGACAGACTGCTTTTGTTTTGTTTTAGTTGCTAAAGTGGCATCAACTTTAAAACGTTCAGTTACAGAAGGATTCAGAAAAGGTGTGGGGTTTTTCAAGCCTTCAACACTATTTGGTATACAAGGTAAATTATCATACAACATCTTGTGATGAATATTTAGAGCAATAGTGTCAAGCCGAATAATGAAACATATATGATTTTTTGACTCTGGTTTGTGCCACACTTACGAACTTTTGCTACATGCATATGCAGTATTTCGATACAGCGGAAGTCATTGTGTGAGCATGCGTTTTGCCGTATCTCGTTCAATTGCTGATCACGTTTTCAACGTAGTTGCTACAAAGCGGCATGTGTCCGGCTACTGCTACACGTAGTGTACATAGTTTTTAAAACTAATAAATCAGTCTAACAAAGTAAAACCACACACATAAACTATATATAGAATGATGTTTTCCATATTATTATTTTGCATTTTCAACTGATAGTTAAACAAATATCTCAATATTATTTCCTATTTGATTTATTGTTACATGTGATGACTGTGATAACAGCCAGTGTAGGCGAACGTCTTGTGTTAGATTACTTCCGGTCCAGAAAATTCCTTTGTTTACCATCAAAACTCATATGTTTACCATAGCAACCATAAATAGATAGAAAATAAACTATTTAAGATTAATGACAAATTGTCAGTTTCTTGACAAAAAAAATCGAATCAATAAATACAAAGTCTTAAGAAAATGTCCTTTCGTTTAGTTCATTTTAAAGGGGGAATAATTTGCCGAAATTTTAGATAGGGAAACATGAGTTATCATTCGTGGCTAAGGAAATATGGCCGACTGAAATCATGCAAGCAAGTTTGAAATTCATGCGCGAGCAAACTAGCCTCTAAGATTTTCAGTTTGTCGTTTTGGTATCTTTAGATATTCCGTGATTCTCTATTGTATTGCAATATTAGTTTCATTTTTGCAGTATAAAGGCCGTTAAATGTCGCATCGTACATATAATCAAAGATGTAACATTTTCGATCCTTGAAAACCGTTCAGCACAACATTATTAATGTTAGTACATGCCTATGGCATTTTTATTCTTTCTACCTTATTCAACTTGCGTTGCTTCATTATTCCTGTTTGAATATTTTATAAACACCCTTAGGATATGGTTCGTTTTTCAAATTTGTCCTTTGACGTCAGATCTGTGACATGCAGGATTCAGAATCTCTGATTCCTTTCAAAATTACCTTTTTTTAGTTCCATTCTGTGTTTTCCGTTTAGTACACACGTACAGTTTTTAATGTTTGTTAATGTTTGTCAATGGTGCTAATTGTTTTGTTTTCTGTTTTTCTAGAATGCCTATCATGACATTATAAATAAATAGGTTGGAAAAAATTCCAATTGGAATATAAGTAAATTCCGCCCCGGACAGCATAATTCCGGGCGGAATACATGAAATTCCACCCGGAGACTTTTTTTACAATACAATTTTGACAAGAAAAAAAAATTAAAAAAGCTTTAAATGAAGTCAATTATTTATAACTAACATTAAATCTAGTGTTAATTTAAATCTATCGGATGAAATGATTTTAAGTGTTTAGGGCAAGTATAAATGGTAGTGAAGTTTGCCGCTTTCCCGATGGTGCAAATATTTTCCGGTGGCTGTTACAAGCAAAATAGGAAACAATTCCACATTACAAAATCTTGTTTAGTTTTCCGCGTCCAGTTTGAGAACTATCAGCCATTCAAATTAATTTGTTTCGATTTCGTTAATTTCTTTTGCTGCCGCTTACGTCAATCTTTCATTACTCTTTAGGTGGCCTGTCCTGTCGAAAATAACTGACAGTTCTTGATTTTTAAAGCACAGTGTTTTTTCATGCACGCGAGAGAAATTGAAATATAATGTACTTGATGTTACATTTTGTAGAAGCTTTATTTGCATATTTTGCCTTTTCTTTGAGTAATGATCACCATTCGCATTCCAAGAGCGTGTAACAGTTATCTTCCTTAATTGGTTTTAAATGTTACCTGAGTGTTATGTGCAAAATCATTGCTTTTGATGCTCACCTCTGCAAACTAAAATAGCGCAGATATTCGAATGTTTATACCCCTTTAATGAATATCTGCGTAAATTTGCTTACGCGAATATAAATTCACATACAGTATTCAAAACGAAATTAGTTTTATTTATCTTATAGTTTACGTAAGTATGGAAATTGGTTCAAAATTGCATATGAAATTTAAGTACTTTCATTTTCTTTTTCCGTTCAAAGCATATTCAAAGCGCTTCAAGAGAAAAGAGAGATAATGCAGATGCAGATCAGACTGATACGATTTTGAGAAAAAAGGTTTATCAATAATTTGTTCGGACGAAGTTTGACTTCCTGTAAAATAAACATGGAAGGACTGAATATAAGAAAAATATTCATTGGTCAACTGAAATCGGTGAATCTCATTGGTCATTCTAAAATAAAATGTAAAGGACAGTTCTAATCATTCTAAAGTAAAATGTAAAGGATAGATCTGACCGTTTCAAAAAATTTAAGGATAGCACAAAGATCAAATGTAAGGGATAGTTTTGCCATTATAAAATAAAATGTAGAGAATAGTCCTATTATAAAATTTACAGGAATGATACTAGTTTTTTAACATTCTGTTTAATTTGTAAATGATTACAAAATTCATAAAGTTAAACGCAAAACAAGTAAAAGGGACACCTTCAATAAAAATTGTTCTTTTAAAAATCATCAATATAAATATGCTGTAATTAAATTTCAATGTTTTCTAAATGGATATTGTCTTAATAGCTACAAGAAATAATTATCATGTCATTGTTATGCAAGCATTGCTAACAATTTCTGTTGTATTGAAAACATAAAAATAACATTATTCTGCATGTTAAACAGATTTATTTCGGCAAAGATACTTCTTATTTATAAGATATATCCTTAATATTTGAAAACAAATTTGATCAGTGCCTTTAAATTGTGAGATAGATACCATTTGAAATATGTTGATGAAGTATATCTTTTTTTAAAACAGCTTCAATTTTATACATTTTAAGAATTTTTTTTAGAGAAGTTAAGAATATAACGAAAACTTTAAATATATATTTACAATATTAACATAAATGATACAAAATAGCATTTTTTAAAATTTTATTTCATGAATTTTAAAAAGATTTCATGCTTACTCTTAAGAAAAAGTGTCAATAATAAAGGAATTAAATAATGAATATAATGGTTTATGGTCATATCTTCAATAATAAGAAAGCTATAATATTGAAACTCCATTATGTAGATATATCTTGTGTCCTACCTGTCAAACTGATTTTAATGCCAATGGTTAAAATTACTGTGGCAAGTAATCAAATGGTAATAAAAACTACAAAAGCTTTTTATTTCAACTTGGTTTACTTTTTTCAAAATCAATATGTGGTGTTATTTGACAGACAAGTACATGTACCTTATAAAGTAATTCACCTTTTTATTCTCCCCTAAAAAATTCGGGGGAGCATTAAGTCGCCGGGTTGTCCGTCCGTCAGTCCGCTTTCACGGGACAGTGATAATGTGGCTAGAGGGGGAATAGGTAACTATTCTTTCTCGTTGATGTCATTCTTCCGTAATGCTTTAGTGTGGCAATTTTTTTGTGTGGCTAAAAAAAAACAAAAGAGAGAACTATAGAGTAGACATATTATTACTGTCCCGTTAGAACGTCCGTCAGTACGTACGCCGTGCGTACGTACATACGTCCCGAAAGTGTGTCCGGCCCATAACTTCGAATTTGAAGTCGGATTTTACAACTATTTCAAAGAAATGATCACCATATTAAGACGACGTGTCGCGCACAACATTTGAGTCGCTACCCTGAAGGTCAAGGTCACAGCATGACCTTGCAGCAAAAACGTGTCCGGCCCATAACTTTGTTATTTGAAGTCGGATTTTTCAACTATTTCACAGAAATGATCACCATATTGAA